TGTGAATACTTCCTTGTTGTGTTAGACACAAGAGACAAACAACATTTTCATAAAATAGATGGCCAGTGAGCGCAGCTATAGTAGGCTACTGAATCCCAACTCCCGAAAAGTTTTCCCACCTAGTTAACTTGGGACGGGAGATCCCTCCCACGCAGCCTGGTCTCATAGACTCCCACGGTATTTCAGCATTGGAAAAATTTCAGAAATCCCGTGGAAGTGACGTTTCGGCAGGAGAAATTGACGCCTGAGTGAGTGCTGCCATTTCCACTGTATCCACAAGGTGCGTTACTATGAAACTAGCAAACTGCCATAATAATCATTGGTTTGAATATGTCACTGTCGCCAACAATAAGCTTTTACGCTCACCAACGCTTTTTTTGCGAGTCGCGCCTCAAATCCTGCCAAGCGCGTGGGTCGAGGATTAGCTACCCTTTGTGTTCCTAATGAGTTGAACGTTTCACTGTTTTTTCATTCAAGAGACTCGAGCCGGTGGCCTCATTTCGACAGCTCAGCGTAATCTGCGACCGCACACCGCCCCATCAACCACCGGTCTAGTTTACCGGTTTTTCCGCGCGACATGCTGACCTAAACGGTTGTTAATCAGTTGGGTATGGGTGGTATGATTTGAGTGGATGTAGACATAGTTGACCCCGTCAGAGCTCTGATGAAAAGCCACAGACAGCTTTCTTTAAAAAAAACTCTAAATTGTATAGTTTAAAGCCCCATGCAGTCTTTTTAATTTTATTTTAAAATCATCACTGTATGGCTAATAAATCACTTTATTTTGTATGAACACTTATATATATATATATACTACTGTTCAAAAGTTTGGGGTCACTTAGACATTTCCTTGTTTTCGAAAGAAAATAAAAACATTTGTCCATTAAAATAACATCAAATTGATCAGAATTACAGTATAGACATTGTTAATGTTGTAAATGGCTATTGTAGCTGGAAACGGCTAATTTTTAATTGAATATCTACATAGGCATACAGAGGCCCATTATCAGCAACCATCAAGCCTGTGTTCCAATGGCACATTGTTTGCTAATCCAAGTTTATCATTTTAAAAGGCTAATTGATCATTTGAAAACCCGTTTGCAATTGTTAGCACAGCTGAAAACTGTTGTGCTGATTAAAGAAGCAATAAACTAGATGTTATCTAAATAGCAAAAAAATTGCTTTTCTTTCGAAAATAATGTCTAAGTGACCCCAAACTTTTGAACGGTTGTGTGTATATGTATATATATATGTGTGTGTGTATATACAGTTGAAGTCGGAAGTTTACATACACCTTAGCCAAATACATTTAAACTCAGTTTTTCACAATTCCTGACATTTAATCCTAGTAAAAATTCCCTGTCTTAGGTCAGTTAGGATCACCACTTTATTTTAAGAATGTGAAATGTCAGAATATTAGGAGAGTGATTTATTTCAGCTTTTATGTCTTTCATTACATTCCCAGTGGGTTCAGAAGTTCACATACACTCAATTAGTATTTGGTAGCGTTGTCTTTAAATTGTTTAACTTGGGTCAAATGTTTCGGGTAGCCTTCCACAAGCTTCCCACAATAAGTTGGTTGAATTTTGGCCCATTCCTCCTGACAGAGCTGGTGTAACTGAGTCAGGTTTGTAGGCCTCCTTGCTCGCACACGCTTTTTCAGTTCTGCCCACAAATGTTCTATAGGATTGAGGTCAGGGCTTTGTGATGGCCACTCCAATACCTTGACTTTTTGCCATTTTGCCACAATTTTGGTCATTGTCCATTTGGAAGACCCATTTGCGAACAAGCTTTAACTTCCTGACTGATTTCGTAAAGTGCACGGCGAGGACGGTTTGAAACGGGCTCCTAGGGGCAGGGCTGAAGTCGTGCAAAGCTAGAAAAAAGCCCTTCATCAATGAGAAGCAAAGAAGAGCCAGGCTGAGGTTTGCAAAAGACCATAAGAATTGAACCATAGAGGACTGGAGTAAGGTCATCTTCTCTGATTAGTCCAATTTTCAGCTTTGCCCAACACCTGGTTGTCTAATGGTTAGACAGAGACCTGGAGAGGCCTACAAGCCACAGTGTCTCGCACCCATTGTGATATTATTTGGTGGAGGATCGGTGATGATCTGGGGGTGCTTCAGCAAGGCTGGAATCGGGCAGATTTGTCTTTGTGAAGGACGCATTAATCAAGCCATGTACAAGGTTGTCCTGGAAGAAAACTTTCTTCCTTTTTTTCTGACATTGTTCCCCAACTCTGAGGATTGGTTTTTCCAGCAGGACAATGTGCCATGCCACACAGCCAGGTCAATCAAGGTGTGGATGGAGGACCACCAGATCAAGACCCTGTCATGGCCAGCCCAATCTCCAGACCTGAACCCCATTTAAAACTTCTGGAATGTGATCAAGAGGAAGATGGATGGTCACAAGCCATCAAACAAAGCAGAGCTGCTTGAATTTTTGCGCCAGGGGTGGCATAAAGTCACCCAACATCAATGTGAAAGACTGGTGGAGAGCATGCCAAGACGCATGAAAGCTGTGATTGAAAATCAGGGTTATTCCACCAAATATTGATTTCTGAACTCTTCCTAAATTAAAACATTAGTACTGTGTTTAAAAATGAACATGAACTTATTTTCTTTGCATTATTCGAGGTCTGACAACACTATATTTTTTGTTATTTTGACCAGTTGTCATTTTCTGCAAATAAATGCTCTAAATGACAATATTTTTATTTGGAATTTGGGAGAAATGTTGTCAGTAGTTTATAGAATAAAACAAAAATGTTATTTTTACCCAAACACATACCTATAAATAGTAAAACCAGAGAAACTGATAATTTTGCAGTGGTCTCTTAATTTTTTCCAGAGCTGTATGTGAGTGTATGTATGTATGTATATGTATATATATATATATAATTTTGTATCATTTATTTCCCTGAGCCTCCTTTTGCCATTGGAATGCTCTGATGATCATGTGTGTGTTGATACAAATTTAAATATTTACATACACAGCCCTGGTTGGCGGATAGGATCTTCAAGACCAGTGGTTCTCAAACTGTGGGTCGGGACCCACTTGTGGGTTGCGGCAGTGGTCCAGGTGGGTCACCAGATGACATTCTTTGTGCATTGCAACAATTTTTATGTATTTCTAGACTCTAGAGCAGGGCTCTCCAACCCGGTTCCTGGAGAGCTACCATCCTGTAGGTTTTCGCTACAACCCTAATCTAGCGCACCTGAATCTAATAATTAGATTAGGCTGAAATTCCCACCATTTATTTTCTCCAAAAACCTCTTACACTAAAAAAGGGCATTATCATAATTTCAGTGTTATTTCTACCTCAGTGTGGAAATATCCATTATTAATTTTTTGACAGCACTGCCCCTTTAAGTTTCAAGATGGGTGAAGACCATTAAAGGAAAAGTTACTTCTGAAACTATCATTATAGACTCACATAAGTGGTAAGCAAATGTGTGTTCACACACAATTTTACTATCAGACTATTTTTCAGCTTAGTAGGTAAATAATGTTAACCTTTTCAGTTTTGACTTCATATCAGACATTATGGACAACAACAAAAAGGCACAACCTCAAAATAATTGGGTAGTTACAGTATTTGTATTTTCTTGTCATCACCGGATAATTGACAGATTTACAGAGCAACTTATAGAGGGGTAGAGCCATACAATATACATGCACCTTTTTTTCAGTCTCACACACTCTCAAACACAGCCTCTCTCACGTATACACACACTTGACTCCCCCATTCAACAAGTGCTACAACATCAAGTTCATTGTCCGTACGTCTCTAAAAATGTTTTAAATTAATTACCCACAAACCAACACATTAAAAACAAGAAAAGAAAACATTCAGAGTCCTGAATCATTGTTACATACAAGACAGAGGGTGCGTCTGAAATGGCACCCTATTCCCTATATAGTGCACTGCAATTGACCAGAGCGCACCCTATTCCCTATGTAGTGCACTATTTATTTATTGAAGAGAGTACAGTGTTGGAAAGACAGGGAGGGTAGTGTGCTGGATTCAAACCCATAGCTATGTAAAGAACGTCATGCTGCTTGCTTAAAGAGTACCGCTTCCTCCCGAGTTGTGCACCGAGTGGCGCAGTGGTCTAAGGCACTGCATCGCAGTGTTAGCTGTGCCACTAGAGATCCTGGTTCGAATCCAGGCTCTGTCGTAGCCGGCCGCGATCGGGAGACGCATGGGGCGGCGCATAATTGGCCCAGCGTCGTCCAGGGTAGGGGAGGGAATGGCCGGCAGGGATGTAGCTCAGTTGGTAGAGCATGGCGTTTGCAACGCCAGGGTTGTGGGTTCGATTCCCACGGGGGAGGTATGAAAAATAATGTATGCACTCACTAACTGTAAGTGGCTCTGGATAAGAGCGTCTGCTAAATGAGTTGGCTCCTCCCGATGCTGGAACCCAAGACCTCTGCCTCAAACACACGTGACCACCCTCCTGAAGCGTCTTACAGATCACGCCACAGAAAAGCCAGCTATTCCACGGCGCAAGAGGGGACACTTCAGGCTGAGCAGCTACGTCAACTCTGGCATGTATGTGTGCTGGGCTCAGCGGCTGTAACCGCAGGACCACACATATAGCACACTACTTTTGACCAAGGCCCTATGGAGGTCCTGGTTCAAAGTAGTGCGCTATATCAGGAATAGGGTGCCATTTGGGACCGAGACGTTTGAGACGTTCTATGTACATGAAACTGTATAAAACAGATCTAAAAATAGTTCACAGGAGGAAGAGGAAACATCAATGTCTACGTCCCAAATGGCTGCCTATTCCCTACAGAGTGCAGTCCTTTTGACCAGGGCCCATAGGGAAGTGTGGACCATTTGGGACGCATTACATGGGTCAATAAATTCATAGCCCTTAGGATCAGGTCAGACTAGAAGGCACTGCTAAATATACAGGACACACAACTACATAGACTTTTCTCCTTTCTTCTTCTCAAGTCTCTCAACGTTCTATTTTCCATCACAGTCACACTCAGTCTTGGTGTCTTCCCTCTCTCTTCCTTTCTGCCTGAACGTGTGATAAGCAGCATGGGTAGCTAGGACAGTTAGGATTCTCAGGTGAGCTGGTAACCACGAAGGAGAGAGAGGGGGTGTGTATAGGGGACAGTGGAGGCTGCTGAGGGGAGGACGGCTCATAATAATGGCCGGAATGGAATTGGTATCAAACACATTGTTTTCGCATGTTTGATAAGATTTAATTCACTCCATTCCAGCCATTATTATGAGCTGTCCTCCCCTCAGCAGCCTCCACTGACAGGGGGAGAGGGTTATTTTTGTGTTCTCGTTAGCTGGTGGGGGGGGGTGGGTCTTGGTTTGAGTCTTTGTTAAAGTCTGGTTCTGCAGTTTGATCTGATCCGGTTTGGGTCAGGTGGAACCGGTTCGGCTGGGACAGGGGTGTCAAACTCATGCCACGGAGGGCCTAGTGTCTGCAGGTTTTTGGTTTTTCTTTTCAATTAAGACCTAGACAACCAGGTGAGGGGAGTTCCTTATTAATTACTGACCTTAAGTCATCAAGTCCAAGGGAGTGAAAACTGGCAGACACTCGTGACAAAAAGTGATGAAATCAACAGCCAATGTTTGCTTTCTTAATTGGGGCTATGACAGTCTACTACAAACCAGTCTGACAGAACATTTGACAGTATTTCAATCTGAAGGAAGTATGATTTGAAGTGCCAAATGCGTCAAAGGTATTGGGAAGTTCAAAAGATCAGACAATAATGTTGTATGATCTGTGTAGAAAATAACATCATTTGTTATTTTTCCTCCAGTCTGATTTAGTTCCTGTTCTTGTCCACTCTGTTCTGAGGCTTCTGGGCATTGTAGAGGGAAACCGTAGATTAAACCGTTCAAAAGATAGCCACATTTGTAGGAAGAAAACAAAAACCGTTCTAATTATTACAACCAGATCAAGCAGCTACCGGAGGTTACTGACAACCCCAGTTCTATGAACCAAGCGCTATTTTTAAAAAATAAGTTATTTCAGAGTTTCTCCAGTTTGGGAAACGCTGGGTTAGGATCAGTTTTGGGACAGCTGGATCTGGTTTGAACTAGTTTGATCTGGTTGCTGTGCTGCCTGGGCCTTGTCCCCAGCCTGCTCTCCCTCTGCCTGGCGCTTCATCGCCTCAAACACCGCAATCTCCTTCGCCTCCTTCTTCTGGTTCCTCGCCTCAAACTGCAGCCTGGAGCGAGAGAACCAAACAAACTTTTATTTGTGTAGCGCATTTTGTGCAAGGTAGCAATACAAGAAGCTTCACAGGATTTACAAACATGAAATAATACCAAATAAATAAGGAGGGAGAGATGGATGAAAAATAACCAGATGAGGGGGAGAGGACCAGATGAGGGGGGGAGAGGACCAGATGAGGGGTGGGGGACCAGATGAGGGGGGGGGGTGGGGGACCAGATGGGGAGGGGGGGGGGGGGACCCATGATGAGGCGGGGGGGAGGACCAGATGAGGGGGGGAGAGGACCAGATGAGGGGGGGAGAGGACCAGATGAGTGGGGGGGAGAGAGACCCAGATGAGGGGGGGAGAGAGGACCAGCGATTGAGGGGGGGGGGGATGTACCAGATTGAGGGGGCAGAGGTGACCAGATGAGGGGGAGAGGACCAGATGAGGGAGAGAGGGGAGACAGAAGGTAGACAGTGATAGATGGGTGAGACAGACACAGACAGACAGACAGACACTTCAAGGCTACTGTGTGAGAGAGGCCCTTACCTGTTCTTGATGATTCTCTGGACGATGTCATCGGTGGTCAGACAGTTACTACTGTCTACTGTACGGAAGATATCTCTCTTCTTAGGCTCCTGGGGGGGACACACACACACAATAACATGCAATCACACAAAAAGACAGATAATCACTCACGAATACTGCAAAACACACAGACAAACACACACACACACAGTCAGTACTCACAGCGTAAGGGTCTGAAGTGTCCTTGTCAGGAAACACCTCCGTCTTCCCATGACACACCAGGTCCACCTACAAGAAGTGACATCATAGATCATAAGAGTATAGTCAATAGGATCAATAATATCTATAGTATAACCTACACGATTGATCATACATATCTATGGTATAACAGGAAGTGACATGGACCATTTTAAGATATGATCAATAATATCTATGGTATAACCTTTATGATCATACTTATACATAGTATAACCTAATCATACATTCCTACGGTATAACAGATCAATAATATCTATGGTATAACATATACGATCATCCACATTTGTAGTAGAAGAAAGGAGATATCTATGGTACACCTTATGGTGTCTTGGTTCACCTTGGCTTATTCACCAGGAACTTCAACCCTGGCCTGCAAGGCTACCATTAACTACCATAGACGGAGGGAAACAGTGGAAAAGTGAGAGAGAGAGCTAGAGGGAGAGCGCTACTAGAATCTGAAGTCAAATGTCTACTGTTTGCTGATGATCTGCTGCTTCTGTCCCCAACCAAGGAGGGCCTACAGCAGCACCTAGATCTTCTGCACAGATTCTGTCAGACCTGGGCCCTGACAGTAAATCTCAGTAAGACAAAAAAATAATGGTGTTCCAAAACAGGTCCAGTTGCCAGGACCACAAATACAAATTCCATCTAGACACCGTTGTCCTAGAGCACACAAAAAACTATACATACCTCGGCCTAAACATCAGCGCCACAGGTAACTTCCACAAAGCTGTGAACGATCTGAGAGACAAGGCAAGAAGGGCCTTCTATGCCATCAAAAGGAACATCAAATTCAACATACCAATTAGGATCTGGCTAAAAATACTTGAATCAGTTATAGAACCCATTGCCCTTTATGGTTGTGAGGTCTGGGGTCCGCTCACCAACCAAGAATTCACAAAATGGGACAAACACCAAATTGAGACTCTGCATGCAGAATTCTGCAAAAATATCCTCAGTGTACAACGTAAAACACCAAATAATGCATGCAGAGCAGAATTAGGCCAAAACCCGTTAATTATCAAAATCCAGAAAAGAGCCGTTAAATTCTACAACCACCTAAAAGGAAGCGATTCCCAAACCTTCCATAACAAAGCCATCACCTACAGAGAGATGATCCTGGAGAAGAGTCCCCTAAGCAAGCTGGTCCTGGGGCTCTGTTCACATACACAAACAGACCCCACAGAGCCCCAGGACAGCAACACAATTAGACCCAACCAAATCATGAGAAAACAAAAAGATAATTACTTGAAACATTTGAAAGAATTAACAAAAAAACAGAGCAAACTAGAATGCTATTTGGCCCTAAACAGAGAGTACACAGTGGCAGAATACCTGACCACTGTGACTGACCCAAAATTAAGGAAAGCTTTGACTATGTACAGACTCAGTGATCATAGCCTTGCTATTGAGAAAGGCCACTGTAGGCAGACCTGGCTCTCAAGAGAAGACAGGCTATGTGCACACTGCCCACAAAATGAGGTGGAAACTGAGCTGCACTTCCTAACTTCCTTCCAAATGTATGACCATATTAGAGACACATATTTCCCTCAGATTACACAGACCCACAAAGAATTCGAAAACTAACCCAATTTTGATAAACTCCCATATTTATTGGGTGAAATACCACAGTGTGCAATCACAGCAGCAGGATTTGTGACTTTTTGCCACAAGAAAAGGGCAACCAGTGAAGAACAAACACCATTGTAAATACAACCCATATTTATGTTTATTTATTTTCCCTTTTGTACTTTAACTATTTGCACATAATATGACATTTGAAATGTCTTTATTCTTTTGGAACTTTTGTGTGTAATGTTTACTGTTAATTTTGATTGTTTATTTCACTTTTGTTTATTATCTACTTTACTTGCTTTGAAGTAGAGAACTAGCGAGGGAGAGAGGGAGAGCGAGAGCTAGTGAGAGAGGGAGGGAGAGAGCTAGCGAGAGAGAGAGAGAGAACTAACGAGAGAGAGAGAACTAGCAAGAGTGAGAGAGAACTAGTGGAGAGCGAAAGATCTAGCGAGAGAGAGAACTAGCGAGAGACAGAGGGAGAGAGAACTAAGAGAGAGAGAGAGAGAGAGAGAGAGAGAGATCTAGCGAGAGAGAGGGGGAGAACTAGCGAGAGGGAGAACTAGCGAGAGACAGAGGGAGAGAGAACTAGCGAGAGACAGAGGGAGAGAGAGCTAGCGAGAGACAGAGGGAGAGAACTAGCGAGAGACAGAGGGAGAGAGAACTAGCGAGAGACAGAGGGAGAGAGAGCTAGCGAGAGACAGAGGGAGAGAGAGCTAGCGAGAGACAGAGGGAGAGAGAGCTAGCGAGAGACAGAGGGAGAGAAACTAGCGAGAGACAGAGGGAGAGAGAACTAGCGAGAGACAGAGGGAGAGAGAGCTAGCGAGAGACAGAGGGAGAGAGAACTAACGAGAGAGAGAGGGAGAGAGAGCTAGGAGAGAGAGAGACAGCGAGAGAGAGGGAGAACTAGCGAGAGACAGAGGGAGAGAGATCTAGCGACAGAGGGAGAGAGAACTAGCGAGAGAGAGAGGGAGAGAGAACTAGCAAGAGAGGGACATCTGTAGTATGTCTGCTATCCACTACCAGCCAGTCACTACTACAGCACCCCAGTCTGTAGACTGTCTGCTATCCACTACCAGCCGGTCCCTACTACAGCACCCCAGTCTGTAGACTGTCTGCTATCCACTACCAGCCGGTCCATACTACAGCACCCCAGTCTGTAGACGTCTGCTATCCACTACAGCCGGGCCCTACTACAGCACCCCAGTCTGTAGACTGTCTGCTATCCATACCAGCCGGTCACTACTACAGCACCCCAGTCTGTAGACTGTCTGCTATCCACTACCAGCGGTCACTACTACAGCACCCCAGTCTGTAGACTGTCTGCTATCCACTACCAGCCGGTCATACTACAGCACCCCAGTCGTAGACTGTCTGCTATACACTACCAGCGGTCACTACTACAGCACCCCAGTCTGTAGACTGTCTGCTATCCACTACCAGCGGTCCTACTACAGCACCCCAGTCTGTAGACTGTCTGCTATACACTACCAGCCGGTCACTACTACAGCACCCCAGTCTGTAGACTGTCTGCTATCCACTACCAGCCGGTCACTACTACAGCACACCAGTCTGTAGACTGTCTGCTATCCACTACCAGCCGGTCACTACTACAGCACCCCAGTCTGTAGACTGCAGGGGCGGTGTGTTCATTAGGGCGATATGGGCGACGCACTGCCAAACGGGAAAAGGAAGGGATTTTTTTTCTAATCAATTATATCACGGCAACAGTAGTTCAGTGTTCTAATCTAGACGTCTGATCTGACTGCCACTAAATGTCCAATCAGGCTAAAGTCGTGCTTCAAATGTCCCCGCCCGTTTTGGGGCGATTTCAGTCAGGTTGAAAATCGCCCAGAAGTCTCTCATAGCCTCTAATGTAAAATATATTTTTTTCAAATATCAGAGCTTTCAATACAATCTCTATGGGTTTCTGAGGGCTTGCACTTACGCGCTTTCGTCATACGTAACGTAACCATGAACGTAACTAAGAAACTACTCTTTCACCCTGAAGGCGGCACGGCAGACAGCACCGCTTGGACAGCGACTGGTGTAACCGACATGCACCATCTTTCAGAAAAGATTAAGAAAAATGAGCTGTCAAAGACCCACATGGATAGCTGTTTGAGATTGTCTGCTTTGGGGAGAGTGAATATATTTACTACGACACTAGCTGTCCGCCGCCACAACGATGAGGTTAGCAACAGCAGAGTCGTGAACACTGTCTACGAGAATCGAGACGACCTCATAGAATGTTTTGAAGCCATCCGGACGGGTTCATTCATTCACGGGTTCATTCACATAGACAACAATACTGTACAAAGCCAACAAACACATTGGTCTGTTTGCCTTCAGGGACTCCTCTCAACAGCAGCTGCAAGAAGCAACAGGAGCCAAAAGACCCAGAACAGCTTTGAGAGAAGAGGAGAAGCAGAGGCTGTCTGAAGAGGTCTGCAACACCATCCTGGATCACACCAAAGAAAGGTTATCTTTCTCTGGCCACCTTGTGAGTGCTACCTTACTGCAAGCAGACATGTTTGAAAGGTACTGCCATTCAAAAAAATAAAAAATCTGTTCATGTTCATTTTTACAAATCTATACAATTGGCCAGAATATGGTTGTTCATATTTACAAATCTATACAATTGGCCAGAATATGGTTGTTCATTTTTACAAAGCCATACAGATAGCTGTGTTTACCTTTTCTAGAAATTACTTTCAAATTCTGTTTTCAGGCGAAATGTCTATCACTGTTCATTTTCACAAATCTATACAAGAGGGCAGAATATGGAAGTCTATAAAAATTTCTTATTACCAATAACTTGCATCAATGTTTTCAGTAGCCTCTATCAAAAGCTCCTGCTTGCTTGTTGTGAATTATGCTCAGGTGCACATATTTCCAATTCAACCATGAGGCAAAAAATGTGGTAAAAGCTCTTGTTGATCCTGCAATCTGAACAAATACCAAGATGCTGTATTTTCAGCTGATATTTAATTTGTTTATGGAAATGCATATTATTTATGCAGTGTTGAGGAATGTGAAAGAACACCCTTGATTAATTTTACTGTGATAACTTATTTTGATTTTGTAAGCCAACACTTTTGAGATCAGTCAATAAATGCTTCTGGTATTGACTTATATGCTGCCCCTGTCTTCATGTTGTTGCTGGACATATCTTTTTAAAAATGTGTGTAGGTCACCTAAATCGTCAGAAAAATTGCCCCCCCTGAGAATTTTTTCAGGAGCCGCCACTGGTAGACTGTCTGCTATACACTACCAGCCGGTCACTACTACAGCACCCCAGTCTGTAGACTGTCTGCTATCCACTACCAGCCGGTCACTACTACAGCACCCCAGTCTGTAGACTGTCTGCTATCCACTACCAGCCGGTCACTACTACAGCACCCCAGTCTGTAGACTGTCTGCTATCCACTACCAGCCGGTCCCTACTACAGCACCCCAGTCTGTAGACTGTCTGCTATACACTACCAGCCGGTCACTACTACAGCACCCCAGTCTGTAGACTGTCTGCTATACACTACCAGCCGGTCACTACTACAGCACCCCAGTCTGTAGACTGTCTGCTATACACTACCAGCCGGTCACTACTACAGCACCCCAGTCTGTAGACTGTCTGCTATCCACTACCAGCCGGTCACTACTACAGCACCCCAGTCTGTAGACTGTCTGCTATCCACTACCAGCCGGTCACTACTACAGCACCCCAGTCTGTAGACTGTCTGCTATCCACTACCGCCGGTCACTACTACAGCACCCCAGTCTGTAGACTGTCTGCTATCCACTACCAGCCGGTCACTACTACAGCACCCCAGTCTGTAGACTGTCTGCTATCCACTACCAGCCGGTCACTACTACAGCACCCCAGTCTGTAGACTGTCTGCTATCCACTACCAGCCGGTCACTACTACAGCACCCCCCTGTCTGTAGACTGTCTGCTAATCCCCTACCAGCCGTCACTACTACAGCACACCCAGTCTGTAGACTGTCTGCCTATCCACTACCAGCCGGTCACTACTTACAGCACCCCGCAGTCTGTAGACGGGCTGCTATCGCACTCCCAGCCGGTCCTACTACAGCACCCCCATCTGTAGACTGTCTGCTATATACACTACCACCGTCACTACTTACAGCACCCCAGTCTTTATACTTTCCTGCTATACACTACCAGCCGTCACTACTAAGCCCCCAGTCTGTAGACTGTCTGCTATACACTACCAGCCGGTTCACTTACTACAGCACCCCAGTCTGTAGACTGTCCTGCTAATCTCAACTACCAGCCAGGTCCCTACTACAGCACCCCAGTCTGTAGACTGTCTGCTATCCACTACCAGCCGGTCACTACTACAGCACCCCAGTCTGTAGACTGTCTGCTATCCACTACCAGCCGGTCACTACTACAGCACCCCAGTCTGTAGACTGTCTGCTATCCACTACCAGTCCGGTCACTACTACAGCACCCCAGGTCTGTAGACTGTCTGCTATCCACTACCAGACCGGTCACTACTACAGCACCCCAGTCTGTAGCTGTCTGCTATCCACTACCAGCCGGTCCCTACTACAGCACCCCAGTCTGTAGACTGTCTGCTATCCACTACCAGCCGGTCACTACTACAGCACCCCAGTCTGTAGACTGTCTGCTATCCACTACCAGCCGGTCCCTACTACAGCACCCCAGTCTGTAGACTGTCTGCTATCCACTACCAGCCGGTCCCTACTACAGCACCCCAGTCGGGAACAATGCCCAGTCCCATACACACAGGACAAAGGTCCGTTTAAACACACTACAGGTCATTGTACATGTTTCCCCCGTAGAGAAGCTAGGCATGTTAGGAAAGATGTCTGTCTCTTCTCCCAGTCAAACAATACCGTTGTTTCAATGTGTCTGGGTCTTCCTGTTTGTCTCTCTGTGTGTGTGTGTGTGTCTCACCTTGAAGTGGTCCAGCAGATCTTTACCCACAGCGTAGGGAGCCCCGATCACCACCTCTGATACATACTGGAGGAGGAGGTGTGTGTGTGTGTGTGTGTGTGTGTGTGTGTGTGTGTGTGTGTGAGTGAGTGAGTGAGTGAGAGAGGGAGAGAGAGAACCAAGTTACATGATAGAAAATAAATAAACAAACAAAATAACAGAGCAAGTTGAGGGGTCGGAGTGTGTTGTTGTGAGTGTTGTGTAATGGTTGTGTTTAGGTCGAGGGCTGACTATCAACACTGTGTCTTAGACATTGAGTTATAGCTCTGGCACAGGACAGGGAGACAGTTTCAGGCTTTGTGTTAACGCTGAATGGTTATGGAATTGCGTAATCCTGTGTGTTTGTGTATAAATACCCTTTGTGTGGTTTGAGCAATCGAGTGCTGTTTTGGATTCGGATAACGACTTCATAAAACACATTCTCAGGACACATCGACACACACACATTAAAATATGCATGCAATCACACACAAACATATGGTTTGAGATGAACACACACAGACACCGGGAGGACAGAGGCTCATTGTTCTGTAGCTGGTCTGATGAGAGCTGAATGGAGGAGAGAGCCTACCGTCCTTCAGTGTGTGTGGACATAGCTTTAACAGTCTGTGACTACTGAGCCCAGGGGGTTACAAAGAAGCGTGTGTCTGTTCTCACCCTGCAGGCCAGGACACTCAGGGTTCTCTCGTGGATGTTCATGATTGGGTAGTTCTTCCCTTTGTAGCGATTCACTTCCTGGTTGACAGAAAAACACAACAACCAATGGACAGGCTATTTACTGGCTTTCGACCAATGTCAGGATATTTTACTAGCTCTCGACCAATGACAGGAGGCTTTATTGCAATGTGAAACAGGGGTAACGGAGGTTACATAGACTTCGATAGACATCGCATCATTGTATCTGTCCCATTATGGCGTCTGTGAGAGCAGGGGCAGCGCCATTGAGGCCATCTCCATTTTGAAGTGGTCCATTTTCTTCTTCTACTACTTCTATGAGTTGGTAAACAAACTGAAAGGGTGCATACTGCCACCTGGAGTGTGTTGTTTGAACAGGTAGAAAGCCAAGGTTGCCGATTTACTGCCACCTGATGTTATGGAGTGTTTGCTCACGAGTATAATTAATTGGCTGATCCCTCCTGATGACCTGGATAGAACAATGTGAGCCCAGTTGACTACTTCAAAATGGTGAAAGTCCTCAATGCCCATGTTTTTGGCCAATAGTGGTGTCTATCTAAGTCTATGGGAGGTTACAAAGTGAAGTAGGTTAACGTTGCCTCTAGACACTGATCTTAGGTCAGTTTTGTGTTCCCCACTAATGGTGAAGCTTAAGATTTGGCCCTTTTTCCATTATATATATATATTTTTTAATCTATTTTTGGTTCCAAGCAGACTTTTTTTACACGAAGACTGAGTTGAGCACAGTCTCCTCGTGCTAGGATTGATCCTTCAGCATTCCATCACAACTGACCTTAGAACAGTATCTAAAAGGAATAGGATAACCCCCCCCCCCCCCCCCACAGTTGAGGACCAATGACAGAGTATTTATACTGGCTCTCAACCAATGGCAGCATGTTTTATTGGAATGTGAAACAGATTGGGGAACACGAGCAGCGAGGCCCTCTGTAGCTTTATTAGACCTGTACATCAATCCTTCATAAAATGTACAGTCAATTGGATCCACATGTTTCTCTTTAACAGTGTGTGTGTGTCTGTGCGTACCATGGGCCTGTGTGTGTGTGAGCTGGCCAGTGAAACAGTAGGAAAGTCAGGTTTGCATGCATACCCCCCCCCCATCGTGTCTACAGGGTTATAAAACCACATTCTCCATAGAGAATCTGATGGCGTTTGCTGAACGTGTGTGTTTAAGTGTGTGTACATACCTGGTCAAAGTGCAGTCCCACGATGACGTAAGGCCTCTCAGCCTGTTTGTAGACCGTCTCCAGGAAGTCAACATGACCAATGTCTGACGGAGAGGAGTGGTCAAGGTAATAACACACACACAGAGAGAGAGAGACAACCACCCTTTGTCTGTGTCTCTCTCACACACAAACACACAAACAACCACCCTTTGTCTGTGTCTCTCTCACAGACAAACAAACACCCTTTGACTCTGTCTCTCTCACAGACACAGCGGTACATAAGGATACGGAAGAGGTCGAAGGCCCCGGCTACGTAGATGATGGTGTCCCCAGGTTGGGGCTCCTGTCCTGAGGCAAACTGGATGATCTTCTGGGACGTCTGGAGGAACTGGGACACTCCCGTCCATGGACTGTGGCCCTTAGGACCCTGGGAAGAACATGGAGGGCAGGAGAGATAGAGAGGAAGGGTCAGTTATACTCCAAACCCTAGCTTCAGAAAACCAGGCTTCTCACAGTTGTTGGAAAGCCTGGGGAAGTAACTCCTCAGAAAGCAGTCTCACGTGGTTGTTCCAAAGATACATTTTGTTTCCAAAAAAACGTACTTACATTTATATTTGCAACTTTCTGAAACGTTTCATCTGAATATACTACAGTACTATTTTCATTGTGATGTACAGCACACCATGGTTGTATTGAGCAGTGTAATTGCGCCCCCATGTGTTCAGAATAATCCACAACAAAAAATAGTTTTTCATCTCCAGTTCCGCTTCAGAATATATTTGAATAGTAATATTTACCTTCCCAAAGTTGTCTGTGTGCTGTTGGTAGTCTGAGTTGTCCTGTAAACCGACAGAGGGAGAGTTTTGCTTGTGTGAATTCTGCCATTACAACAGTGTAAAGCCCCAGGAGGTTGGTGGCACCGTAACTGGGGAGGACGGGCTGGTGGTAAAGGCTGGAGCGGAATCAATGGAACGTTATCAAATACATCAAACGCCTGGTTTCCATGGTTTCCATGTGTTTCATACCATTCGCTCCGTTCCAGCCATTATTATGAGCCGTCCTCCCCTCAGCAGCCTCCACTGGTTCACACACACACACACACACTAAGGTGACTGTAGGGTCAGAGTGCTCTGTGTGTGTGTGTGTGTGTGCTGCATGTCTGTGTAGTACTCACGATGTTGCTGTGGTGGGCTTTAGTCATGAGCAGCATGCGCCCCACCAGGTCTGTGGTTGAGACCCCCTGGGTGCGTCTGCACTCCCGGTACCGGCCCTCTCTCTTCACCTCCGCATACGTGTCCTTACCGTCCACCGTCAGAGTGATGTCATCTAAGGTAAACAAGGACAATGTTGTAGTTAGTTTTCTGACATCAACATGAGATGGAATCCCCCCCCCCCCCCCCCCCCCCCCCCCCCCCGACACTGTTCTGCCGCTCTACATCTATAGCCTGGAATTTACATTCTGAACTGTCTAAATAAAGAGAGAAATATAGAAGGAGGAGGAGTCTCTGTTCTCCTTTAAAATAAATATATATATATTATATAACCCCCCCCCCCCCCCCCCCCCCCCCCCGGACTATCAGTCCTCCCCCTCCCCTTTACCTCCCCATCTCCTCCCGCCACCCTCCCTCCCCCCTCCCTCTTACCTCCGTGGACGCAGAAGTCACTGTTGTATTTGTCCAGTGTGTCCAGTGTGGTGACATAGGGAGCACCCTCTACGATCTCATCCACCCACTTGATAGCCTGCACCATCTTATACCTACAACACCATTACATAACTTTATTGCCCATTTACATGAAAACTAAATGTAGTGATTTTCTTACTGTTTTTCAACAGAACTTTGTACAAGTGTCAGCAACAAGCTGAACTGCGAGTACAACTTACATTTAAATATTAACAATTGGAAATGCTAACTAAAACAATAAACAAAAGATATCAGAATAAAAAAGTTACAGTTCTACCTCTCTGCCTGGGTGAAGACAGGAGGACCCTTGTGCTTCGAGATCTCTCCTGAAGGAAGGAAGGAGGAGGGAAATTAGTGTATATTACTGTTCTGTTGTCCAGAGGGAAACAGAGAGAGAAGTGAAGAAACAGCAGAGAATGAGATACTTGTGATTAATACCTGTGTGTGTGTGTGTGTGTGTGTGTGTGTGTGTGTGTGTGTGTGTGCGCTCACCATCCGTGTGTACGCCAACGATGAGGTAATCTCCCATGGCCTTAGCCTGTCTCAGCTGGTTGGAGTGGCCATAGTGCACCATGTCATAACTACAGGACAGGAAGAGAGGGCATGATGTCATAACTACAGGACAGGGAGAGAGCGCATGTCATAACTACGGGACAGGGAGAGAGGGCATGATGTCATAACTACAGTACAGGGAGAGAGGGCATGATGTCATAACTACAGGACGGGAGGGGAGAGAGGGCATGATTGTCATAACTACAGGACAGGGAGAGAGGGGCATGATGTCATAAACTACAGGGACAGGGAGAGAGGGCATGATGTCATAATACAGTACAGGGAGAGAGGGCATGATGTCATAACTACAGGACAGGGAGAGGAGAGCATGATGTTCATAACTACAGGACCGGGAGAGAGGGGCATGATGTCATAACTACAGGACAGGGAGAGAGAGCATGATGTCATAACTACAGGACAGGGAGGGAGGGCATGATGTCATAACTACAGGACAGGGAGAGAGAGCATGATGTCATAACTACAGGACAGGGAGAGAGGGCATGATGTCATAACTACAGGACAGGGAGAGAGGGCATGATGTCATAACTACAGGACAGGGAGAGAGGGCATGATGTCATAACTACAGGACAGGGAGAGAGGGCATGATGTCATAACTACAGGACAGGGAGAGAGGGCATGATGTCATAACTACACACACACACACACAGAGAGAGACACACACAGTGTGCGTCTAACTGAGCTGGTCTAAAGGAGGGGCTAGTGTGTGTTATGAGTAGTAGCCTGCCCTATACTTGATAGTTGCCATCTGTATCCACTGGTAGATGCCTGGCCTGCCTGTAGACACCTCTAATGGAATAGATATGGAGGAACCTCTCCACTTACACACAGCAGACCCATCACCCCACACAACCTTACAGCCTGCTCCGTCCTCCTTCTGTCCTCCCTTCACATGACTACTAGCCATGGTATGATTTACACCTAACACAACCTTACAGCCTGCTCCGTCCTCCTTCTGTCCTCCCTTCACATGACTACCAGCCATGGTATGATTTACACCTAACACAACCTTACAGCCTGCTCCGTCCTCCTTCTGTCCTCCCTTCACATGACTACCAGCCATGGTATGATTTACACCTAACACAACAAGTTACGTTTCTCAAGTTAGGATTCAGCCCTAGGAAAGTACAATGTGTGGATCTAGCAGTATGGGAGTCATCCTCTCTCTGTAATGTGTGTGTGTGTGTGTGTGTGTGTGTGTGAGATTACCGATTCCTCTCTGTAATTAACCCCAGGATTACCATGGGAATTATCCCTGAGGTGTAACCAAGACGACACACACACTATCCCTAGACCTGGAGGAGACAGGCAGATCAACTGGAGACTCCCAACAACTCTACTTTATACTGGCAGTATAGTACAGAGAGCCTACCTCTGATAGATCTGTCCTTTATACTGGCAGTATAGTACAGAGAGCCTACCTCTGATAGATCTGTCCTTTATACTGGCAGTATAGTACAGAGAGCCTACCTCTGATAGATCTGTCCTTTATACTGGCAGTATAGTACAGAGAGCCTACCTCTGATAGATCTGTCCTTTATACTGGCAGTATAGTACAGAGAGCCTACCTCTGATAGATCTGTCCTTTATACTGGCAGTATAGTACAGAGAGCCTACCTCTGATAGATCTGTACTTTATACTGGCAGTATAGTACAGAGAGCCTACCTCTGATAGATCTGTCCTTTATACTGGCAGTATAGTACAGAGAGCCTACCTCTGATAGATCTGTCCTTTATACTGGCAGTATAGTACAGAGAGCCTACCTCTGACAGATCTGTCCTGTCCACATACCTTGCTGGGTTTTGAACAAACAGCCACTAGTTCATTCCGCTATGTAAAGAAATCATTCTGAGTGCACTATGTAGGCCTTGTAGGAAATAGGGTGCCATTTGGGATGTAGTACTCTGTAACAAACTAGACTAAGTGCTTCTGTTTTATTTTTATGTACTCCCTCTCTCTAGGCCTATCTCTCCCTCTTTCTCTCCCTCTCTCTAGGCCTATCTCTCCCTCTTTCTCTCCCTCTCTAGGCCTATCTCTCCCTCTTTCTCTCCCTCTCTAGGCCTATCTCTCCCTCTCTCTAGGCCTATCTCTCCCTCTTTCTCTCCCTCTTTCTCTCCCTCTTTCTCTCCCTCTCTCTAGGCCTATCTCTCCCTCTCTCTAGGCCTATCTCTCCCTCTTTCTCTCCCTCTCTATGCCTATCTCTCCCTCTGCTCTCCCTCTCCTCTAGGCCTATCTCTCCCTCTTTCTCTCCCTCTCTCGGCCTATCTCTCCCTCGGCCTATCTCTAGGCCTATCTCTCCCTCTGCTCTCCCTCTCTCTAGGCCTATCTCTCCCTCTTTCTCTCCCTCTCTCGGCCTATCTCTCCCTCTTTCTCGCCCTCTCTAGGCCTATCTCTCCCTCTTTCTCTCCCTCTCTCTAGGCCTATCTCTCCCTCTTTCTCTCCCTCTCTCTAGGCCTATCTCTCCCTCTCTCTAGGCCTATCTCTCCCTCTTTCTCTCCCTCTCTCTAGGCCCATCTCTTCCTCTTTCTCGATCTCGTAGTAGAATCTCTCGCTCTCTCTCTGCCCCCCTAAAAGACCCCTCTGCTACCCTCTAAAAAGATGCCAAGAAGACCCCTCTGCTACCCCCTAAAAGACCCCCCTGCTACCCACTAAAAGACCCCTCAGACACCCTCTAAAAAGATTCCAACAAGACCCCTCTGCTACCCCCTAAAAGACCCCAACAAGACCCCTCTGCTACCCCCTAAAATACCCCCAACAAGACCCCTCTGCTACCCTCATGCTGTATCTGTCACTGGACGATATGTTCACTATGTTGGTTAGTTATTTATATCTACTATTCTGGACTGCCATGTCAAAACAAACTAGCTTTCTGCCTGGGTCCACGAGGGGCAGAGTGCCTGTGTGTGTGTGCCTGCTGTGTGTGTGTGTGTGTGTGTGTGTGTGTGAGAGAGCAATGTTTATAGCTATGCCACCACCAGCACCAGTCACACGGTGAGAACGGGTGAGGTGGGGGTCAGTTGGCTCTCGCCTCAAGTAAACTCAGCAAGACCATGTCAACGTCCCAAATGGTACTCTATTCCTTACATGGTGTACTACATTTAACCAGAACCTTATGGGCCCTGGGCAAAAGTAGTGCACTATAAAGGAAATAGGGTTCACTTTGGGACACTACCCATATAGGCTATATAGTATTACAGTAAGTGCACTATAGGGCTCTGACCAAAAGTGGTGCCCTTGGTCAAAAGAAGTTCACAATATAGGCTGCCATTTTGGCCACATCCCATGATGAGCAGGCTGTAGGTACTAGGTGGTGTGGATGGGCCAGGAGTGAGAGACTAGCCCTGTTTGGCCACATCCCATGATGAGCAGGCTGTAGGTACTAGGTGGTGTGGATGGCCGGGAGTGAGAGACTAGCCCTGTTTGAGTACTCTCAAAATGCATCCTTCCTTCCTCCTCCCCCTTCTTTGAAATAGCCTAATCACTGATCTGGTTTCTGTTAATAGGTGAAAGCTAAGTAGTAGAATCATTTACTTTCACCTATCCAGCCATGTTGGATCAGTGATAGTAAGCCAGGGTCGTATTTCCTATTGATTTAGTGCACACCGTAGCGGTTTGCAACAAAACTAAAACAAGCGCATTTCTTTTTGGACAAGTTCAGTTAATGAATATGGCCCAGGTAAAGTATTTGAACCAAGCCAGAGCAAGGGCATCAGAGCATGTTATTGACCTTGGCCAATGAGTTACTGGGTGTGTCTCTCCTGTCTCCTCTCTAATCCACAGGGAGATAAAGGTCACTGCAGGTCATTTTCCACCTGGCAGACAGCAGCATCGATCACAGAGCTTCTACCTCATCCTCATCAGGGGAGTAAGGAAGAAGTTGCCCCTAGAGTAGACGCTGATCTTGGGTCATTTTGGCATTTTCCCCACTAATGGCTAAGGTTAGGATTGGGGGAGGGGAAGACTATCCTAGATCTGTACCTAGGGGAAACATCACCCAGGAAGGAGCCTTATCAGGCATTCATGTATTCTACAAACTTGAATAAAGGCTTATTAGCTACTAGTCAAATAAAATTGTATTTGTCACATGCGCCAAATAAAACAGGTGTAGACTTTAACTAATACCAAGCTACTGCTGAAAGTAAACGGGTGGCAGGTAGCTTAGTGGTTAAGAGCGTTGTGCCAGTATCCGAAAGGTCGCTGGTTCTAATCCCCGAGCCGACTAGGTGAAAAATCTGTCGATGTGCCCTTGAGCAAGGCACTTAGCCCTAATATCTCCTGTATGTCGCTCTGGATAAGAGCGTCTGCTAAATGACTAATAATAATGTAATAATGTAAACAACTTTTTGTTTGGGGAAACAAACATCAACCTGATAAGATCATCTGATAAATTACCAAAATGTAAATGTAAACCAGCATGTTGCACACTAGGAGATGTGACACTATGGTCAACTGATAAGGGTGGACTTTGTAACCTTACTTCCTTGCCAACTGGGTTGGGTAGCTAGCTATGTCACTCTGCACATTGTCCTCTGACAACAAAACAAGTGTTGCAACATACAGTAGGGTTGCCATGTATATCCTTTGCCCCACAGAGCTCGTCATCATGTTTACAGTTAGCTATTATAACAGTAATAAGAGGTCTTAGTTTGGGCTAGTCTGTTCTGGGTTTGTATACATTTCAATAGCATGAAATTGATATCTAGGTAGCTAAAAAAAAGTGACTTTCAGATCAATCAACGAATGACCGTTCTTCCTGCCTACCAACCGTTGCCAGCCAACCACAGTAGGCCAGCTATAGATGAGAAAGGCTGTAGCCATAGATATAGCTAGAACTTATATATTGTCTATGGCTGTAGTAAACTAGCCTGGTGCCAGTCTGTTTCTGCTCCATTGCCAATTCCTCATGGAATTGTCATGTTTAGCTTGACAATAACAATGCAATGGAGTAGGAAAAAGCACAACCCGATTTGGGACCAGGCTACTAGTTAGCTAGCAGCAAGTCAGCAACTGCACTGTACCAACTTTTACCAAGCTATTTCCAATATCCATACATCATAGTGACGGCTAAGGTTACGTAACATCCTACCTAAACCATGTGCACATAAACTTCAGTCTAGCTGAGATCATTCCGTTCCTACTGGCTGTTGGTCGACTCTGGCAGGCTGTGATCACATTAACAGCCCCCCTCTCAGAAACGTGGCAACTGAAACAGTTTAGCTAGCTAGTAGGTACTGTAGTTCTCTGACTTTAGGGGTATTTGTGATTGAAATAACACAAATAATCACGCTTGTAGCCACTTTTGTTTGGCCAGGCAGCAACACTCAAGTTCATGTTTACAAAGTAGCAAAAATACCTAGTCAGCCGGCTTGTGCTGAAGCTGAATGTAACGATGTGCCGTTATAACGTGATCTAGCTTAGTGGTTATAGTCAACAGTTGATCGACCAAAATGTTACATTGTTGCTAGAGCTAACAGTTGGTTACTAGTGTAGCTGACGTTACCTAGCCACTTAACTTACTCAGACAAGTCACTATGCAAAACAGATTACCAAAAATGAAATAAACAATTTTAGCAGCTAGGCAACCTTGTACTTGTAGCTAATATAGCTAGCTGGATAGTAGGCGTAGCTACACGACTTACCACCCATCACACCACACCCGGACAGAGCGCTTCCTCTTCTCTGGGCTGCAAGCCAAGTCTCCCGGCTTAGCGCCGCTCTCTATCCCCGGCTCATTCGATGTGTGGTGACCGTTCTTGATCATTTTGTTAAAAATAATATTAAAACTCTGAGCTAAAACCCCACAATAATAAAATAATGTCGTCAAAGTCAAGTTAAAAGGACGGGTTGGGCGATCTCATTCACCCGATTTAAGGAAGAATGATTCTGCTGGTGGGACAACGCCTCCTTTGGCGTGAAAACGGCGTCATGATCGAACCATGAATCCTCTTAGGTAGCGGCCATGCTGGTTGCGTAAACACTCATATCACGTGATTAGGGACAGCATAAACACTCATATCACGTGATTGGGGAAACCAGCACAACGTAGATTATGGGTGTGTCCGTAAATTCAAAGCGTTTCGCGGAATAGGCTTGATCCGAGCGTTCTGACCTCACAACGCATTCAAGCGCTGGCTAGCTACATCCAGAGACAAATGAGAGAACACCTCACTCTGACCATTTTACTCGACCTGGATAGGCTGTCTTCATGTTATCCAGATCGTTGGTGATTGTAACTGTGCTGCTGGCAACAATTTAATTATGCCTTTTGCAGACGTTTACTGACACCAGACATATTCAATGGGTGTTGAGCTTTCGTAAAGTCATCAGTTATTCTGCGCTCTGGCACACTCAGAATAGTGATCTGAAATCGGAGTAGATAGCCAGAGCGAATTTACGAACGCACTCTATACATTTCCGATAAAACTACGCGATTAGTGTGTAAACAAAGTACCAAAACACTTTCCTGTCAACCAATGTGTTTGAAAGAGAAAAGAATACAGCAGGCAAAGTTTGAATAGATTCTATGGCACTTTTTGAAATTATAGTAACAGTACAAAAACAGTCAAGGGGTGGACAACGTATACGTCACAGTAGCCCAAAGGCAGGCAGATGGTGATATTGAGTCGTTTCATCTTATTGTCCAAAGGTAATGCATGCAGCCATCTATACACTCATATCATATCAAATCAAATGTTATTGGGCACATACGCCAATACAACAGATGTAGACTTTACAATGAAATGCTTATATCCCCGCTATACACTCATATCCCCATGGACCGGTTCGGTTCATACATAAAACCATTCAGGCTGCAAAGTTGTAGATTTCCTCCTTAAAGGGGACGTTTACCTACAATCCCAAACTTCCCAAGTGATTCCATACATTGAAATTAGTTAGGTGGAGTTTGCCTTCTCCCCCTCTCTCCCTGTTGTTGCAGTCGGCCACATTCAATAATAATATAAAATAATCACAATTGTTTTAGGTGGAAAAGTACACATTTCCTGACTTAAAGCCGATAGTACTTTTGGTTAAAATAGTTAATTTGGCCGTACCCTTTCAATAAAACGAATAATTTGTCCACAATTCACATATTTCTCAATTGCTCTTTGACTGACAATGGAGCAATGCACAAAGACACGTCACATGACTCATTTTTGCAGCTCTCCAGTTCTACACTGTAGGGAGAGAGAGGGGGAGAAGGCAAACTCCACCTAACTAGTTTCAATGTATGGAATCACTTGGGAAATGTGGGATTTTAGGTAAACTTCCCCTTTAACTCGATTTAATGGCAAGAAGGCAGAAAAAACAATAACCCGGAAACTGTGTGTACTTTCTTTATGAAACACCATTTTCAACCACCATGCTAGAGTGGCCAATGCTAATCCCAGATGTTGCGTATCGCGTTCAGTCAATCTGGTCTTTTATTTAGAAAACTATCAGACTAGGGGTGAAACAAACAGACTGTTGCTGTAGTGGTAAAGTGGTGAGGTTTTAATGGGAGTAGAGTTAGTTGGTATAGTGGTGAGGTTTTAATGGGTGTAGGGTTAGTTGGTATAGTGGTGAGGTTTGTAATGGGTGTAGGGTTAGTTGGTATAGTGGTGGTGCGGTTGTACTGGGTGTCGGTTCGTTGGTCTCGTGGTGCGGTTGTCCTGGGTGTCGGGTTCGTTGGTTCGTGGTGCGGTTTGTCCTGGGTGTGGGTTCGTTGGTCTCGTTGGTGCGGTTGTCCTGGGTGTCGGGTTCGTTGGTCTCGTGGTGCGGTTTGTCCTGGGTGTCGTGGTTCGTTGGTCTCGTGGTTGTTTCTGTTCGGTTGTTGTCCTGGTGTGTTCGGGTTTGTCGTGGTTTTTTCTTTTTCGTGGTGAGGTTGTCTGGTGTGTCGGGTTTCGTTGGTTCGTGGTGCGGTTTTCCTGGTGTCGGGTTCGTTTGGTCTCGTGGTGCTGGTTTTGCTCTGGTGTCGGGTTTCGTTGGTCTCTGGTGTCGTGGTTTGTCCTGGGTGTCGGGTTCGTTGGTCTCGGGGTGCGGTTGTCCTGGGTGTCGGGTTGTTGGTCGGGCCTTTTTTTCCCTTTTCCTCCCCATCTTTTGTCTCTCCCCTTTTTGTATCAATGTGTTAAGGGAGTACAGTAGGTTGTGGTGTATGCACCTCTTAATTAGATGCGATCAGCCAATACAATAAAAAAAAAAGAACAGACTGCTGCTACCTGATTGGCTAACAGCAATACACAACATCCGGGACTAGCATTAACTACTCTACCGTGGTGGTGGAAAATGGTGTGTCATGTTATTATAAATAAAGTATGCATATTTTCCAAATGTTTTCCCTCCCTCTCAACATTAAATCCAGTGGAGGAGGAACTCGGCGCCTTTGCAGCCTGAATGGAGAATGTTTTATGTATGAACCGGTCCACAGGGGACACGGCTGCATACATTTCCTTTGGACGGCAAGATGAAACGACTCAATATCGCCATCTGCCAGACTTTTGGTTGACTTCACAGTAACTCTGAAACAAAAGGGTTATAAATATTGCAAAGTAGAGACTTGCCACGAGGCTTCACATTGTAAAACTGCAGCATTGTAATAATGGTAGTAATCATGATCACTCCGTGCACATCATTGCCTTTCTAGGTGTATAGTGAAGTTAATCCTAAATGCTGATCCCGGGTCAGTTTTGCATTCCCCCCACTAAATTATAAGGTTATGATTGTGGAGGGGAGGCTGATCCCAGATCTGTACATCTGTACCTAGGGGAAACTTCCCCCGGAGCATCTTTCTATTAAAAAAGACAGGAACAAGAAGTTACAGTAACATTTAGTAAACAACATTATGTAAACATTTACGTCATTTTAGCAGATGACGTAAACATGGTGCAGGGTTCTCCCCAGGAGTTTTTAACAAGGTGGTGCTGCTTAGTGTTTTTGAACACAGGGTAACTGCCATTTCCTGCAATCTAGAGCAAAAACAAATTCCTTATATAGCTAGGTTTCCATCCAATTGCCGACAGATTTTCATGTGAATATTCTAAGATCTGCATGAAAACAATATGCACATTTTCATCAAATTGACTTGTTGCGGATAAAAGGCTGTGCTTGATTACATAGTGCACATAAAAATACCTTTTGTGGTTACATTTACCAAATTAAAAATACAAGTTAAATGGGTTTCCATCATATTTTCAACTGTACTGATAGTTCTAAAATATATATATATATATGTTGGGTTATATAGCAGTGTGCCCACTCTGGTATTGGCACGTGCGCTCTAGCCAACAGCTCGCAGATACAGTGCAGGTATAACCTACATTAGATTATTATGGACAAAAGAGGGATAATATTTTTATTTGTGAAACGGCAGCCAAGCATCGAATATTATGTTACCAGAATAAGACCCTCGATATTTATTGAAAGGAGCAAGCTCCTCACCATGCACTTTCACCACCCTGTGAAGTTAATCATAACTTATTTCAATTGTAGCCTAATAAACTGCATGGTTTCCCCGACGAGTCTTAGTGAGAGAACCACACAACATATCATCGCGTGACTAAATTTACTTCGATATGACGGCTATTATATAAATATTTGCGCATAAATGCATTCATTAATTTTACAGACACAAAAATATCCCATCGTGTCTAGCATATTTTGTTTCTTCGACATTTGGAAACTTTAAAGACACATCCGACATGTACTAACGCATAAAAAATGTTGGATGGAAACCTGGTTTATGATGACAAATAAAGTGGTGGTGTTTTTTTAAACAGTGTTTACATAGTGGCGTAGCCAGTACAGAAGGTTGCGCAGCGCCTGTGCTATACTTTGGGGAGAACCCTGTAATGTTTAGCACCAAAATAACACAACATTTAACACTGATATTACATCCCAAATGGCACCCTCTGCCCATGTAGTGCTCTACTTTTGATCAGGACCCATAGAGAATAGGTTGCCATTTGGGAAACACCCTAAATTCACACTTCCATTATTGTAAAACCAAATACCTGACAATACCACCATCTGATGACAGATACTAATGCCATGAATGTGCTGTACTGTAATTGTATTGCATCAACGACGGCAAACCTGAGGAAAGTTAGTAAGGTGCGGTGCATGCAACAAACACAAAACACCACTCCAATGAAACTCCTATAAAGCACCATTCAATTGAAAAAACAAACTCTTTGGTTACAGCCCAATAATATATCTCCTCCTGAAGTGTGCACTCGTTCACTACTCCCCACAAATTTAAAAGCGTTGGATTGGTGTAGGCATGGGTCAGAGGGAGTTTCCATATTCCGGTCATTTTCTTTTAAATCCATGACGGGAAGTGAACAAGTGCACACTTCAGGAGAAAGGAGTTTCCACTAGACAGCACAGCCACAAAGTCAAAATGGGTTATATCGTGTATATTTTTTTGGGGGGTGCTTTTTGGTCTTAATGTAAGGTTAGGCATAAGGTTAGAAGTGTGGTTAGGGTTAAAATCACATTTTAAAATTGTAGAAATGGGCGGGGTTTATGACTTTGTGGCTGAGGTTACTAGTGGTGACCAGAAATGATAGATTATTAGGAGGCTACCTCTGGCTTAAATGAGTAGTATCTGAAAACATAATAATACTTTATAATATTCTGCATCACAAATAGCTCTGTCTTAGTGAGGTTTTTTCCCCCTCACTTCTTTCTGCTGGTGCATCTTCCTTATTATGAAGGTCCATTTTAAAAACAACCCCAATCAGAACAAAAAAAGAGATACTAGATACACACACGATTCTCCATGATTAACGTTCTCCTACGCCACCTTCTTCTTCCTCTTCCTTCCTTTGGAGTATCCTCGTCCGAACCAGCCTCCTTGCACTGCCCTCCCTCCACCCCGTCCCAGGGAGTCTGGTGAGCAGTCCTTCCCACCAGCGGGTGGAGCTATGAGTTTACGAGTGTAACTGTCCTCCTCGTCTGGCCTCAGCGGTGTGGCCAAGCTGAGTATAGGGTCCTCTGTCCTGATGATGGAAGGGGAGTCAGGAACGCATCAGTGAGGGTGTTCCAGCTGGGGTGGATTCATTAGGACACACCATAGCATAACTATTTGCAATGGAAAACTTTTAGCAATAACAAGTTCAGGTATGTCCCTCCCCGTTCCAACCAGTTTGCTTCCTAGGCCCCCTGTAGCTCAGTTGGTAGAGCATGGCGTTTGCAACGCCAGGGTTGTGGGTTCGTTTCCCACGGGGGGGGCCAGTATGAAAAATGTATGCACTCACTAACTGTAAGTGGCTCTGGATAAGACCGTCTGCTAAATGACTAAAATGTAATGTAAATGTAGTGAACACACCAGAGGTGTGTGTGTGTTTTGACAGGTCTTACTTGTTGTAGGCAGGGATCTTTAGGTTCAGGTCCTCCATAAGGAGACGCATCACGTCATCACATTTCCCATGGATCTTCAGTGTGGCCAGGTCGTCTTTAGGTGTCCACTAAAACAAGACAGAGGTCATCATCAATCAGGCATCCTATTACATTCATAGTGCACTACTTTTGACCAGGGTCCATCTCTGTGGGAGAACTAAGTGAAACTGCATTGCACGATCAAGATTTAACTCTGTAACAACACAGGTTCATGTCAGTGTTATTGGTTCATGTCAGTGTTTTCCAATCCTGGTCCTGGGGATCCAAAGGGGTGCAATTAAAACATTTTGTCCTAGCACTAACGCACCCGATTCAACTAATCCTAGGGACCAGGATGCTAGGGCAATGCTAGGGACCAGGATTGGGAAACACTGGTTCAAGTACTAGTAAGATGACCTGTAGATTGACGATATAGAGTTTGGGTCTCCTGTTAGCAGGTCTATTCATGCTCCATAGACAGGCATACTTCTTCAGCACCTGGTAAAGAGAGATGGAAAGATCAGTCTAACCACACTGTGATGACATAAACAACACAAAGCCACTCAATTATTTTCAACATTCACGGAACTCCCATTTTATGCACATTCAATGTCATTTCGCATTCAATGTCATTTCATTGTCCTGTGAGGTTAGCAGCACTCTGTTTTAGTCTATTCATCCTGATTAGACAGACCATCCCTTCAGACTTTATTGATGCTGTGTGTTAGTGCATGTTGTTGTCCTGTCCTTACCTTCAGACTGGAGCCCAGACAGAGGATAACATCAGCCCTCTCAGCAGCCTCCGATGCCCCCCTCCAGTTGAGAGGCTGCTCCAGGGTGCCCCTCTCCCCGAAATGTACGATGGTGTCCCTGAGCTCTCCCCCGCAGTGGGCACACCGCCGCCCCGTCCCGTGCCTGTGCCTCGCCGTGCGCTCCGTCACGTCAAAGAGTCGCACAAACTCCCTCACCGGGGAACAGGAAGTACACACCTGCAAAATAAGAAATGATGTCAGTATTATAATCCAGCGAGTTCTTTAGGTGGCATCTATTGGTGTAGTATATACTGTATGTAGTGTGTGTGCCTGATGTCTGTGTGTGACCTGCCTCGATGAACATGTTGCCGTGCAGCTCAGAGAGGGTGTGTCTGGAAAGGCCGCTACGCAGGTGGAGCCCATCACAGTTCTGAGACACTACATGCTGCACCTACACCCACCCACACCAATGCCAACACACACATTGGAAATGGTCATACAGACACCTCGAAAACCTTTCCAATGTCTGAGGAAGCTAAAAGCACAAGGTCCCTGACGACACACACAACTAGCTGACTGACCATGTTCTCCTCATGCAGCGTCCTGATACACATGTGTGTAAGAGTAGGTTCTGCTTCACTCAGGTCTGACGAGCTAGAGAGGGAGAGAGAGAAATGACTTAATTACATGCAGTATGATGAAGTTGCCATCTTGTTGACTTAATTACATGCAGTTTGATGAAGTTGCCATCTTGTTGACTTAATTACATGCAGTTTGATGAAGTTGCCATCTTGTTGACTTAATTACATGCAGTTTGATGAAGTTGCCATCTTGTGTACTCCAGCCTGTCTCACCTGACAGCTCTGCCCTTCTGTAGCTGTGTCCAAACCCCATTTGGTCCCCTGTAGTCTGGGATGGACGCTGCCTGCAATACATGACACAGAAACATGTCCCCCTTGTCATGATGGGTGGCAGGTAGCCTAGCCAATTGGGCCAGTAACCAGAAGGTCGCTGGTTCGAAGCTCCGAGCCAACTAGGTGAAAATCTGTCGATGTGCCCTTGAGCAAGGCACTTAAACCTAATAGCTCCTGAAAGTCGAATAAGGTGTGCTACCTCTGGAATAGTTCAAATACATGGAAAGTCTGGGGGTCCCCAAGGAGAGGTTTGAAAAAGGCTACATGAGTGCACACCGTAGAAAAAAAGAGTTTCGTTTTGGACAAGTTCAGGTTAGTCCCTCCCCTGTTTCAGCCATTTGGTTCCTGTGAAATACACCCCAGATCTGTTTGTGCTCTTGCCAACTCCATTGCTGTTTGGTATGACAATGAGTTGACATGATAGCATAAATAAACTGGCACTTAGACTAGTGGAACACAGCCATGGTGTGAAATACGGAGCCCCAGTATTTACCGTGCTGATCCCGGCCCCAGTGTAGATCACCAGGTGTTGAGCCTGTCTGACTGCCTCAGCCAACTGTCCCACTTTACACCTCAGGTCCTCTGTTTCATCAGATACCTACAACAGCACAAAGACAGAGAGAGACATAAAGCAAATTCCATGCTAATAGTCATCCTCCACATTGCATCTCTCCTAGCCTGGTGTTTCAGGTCAGTAAAGACAAGGAGAGAGAGAGAGCGCCACTTAGACCATGTTATTGGTAGCCTGGGTGCCAGTCTGTTTCTGCCCTCGTGCCAACTTCTTATGGAATTGTCATGCCATGTTTGGCGTGACAAGCAGTTGGGAAGATAGCCTGGTCCAACAGATCTGTTGGACCAGGCTATGTTATTGGGCAGTTATAAAGACACGTCAATAACCAGACCTCTTCTTGCTTCCTCTTTAGAACGTTCCTGCGGACCTGCCGCGAGCACAGTTCCTGTACCGTGTCCTGGTGCAGAAGTAGATCCGCAGACTCCTCCTGTGTCCGCTCACTCTCCTGCTTCTTCAGGATCTTAGCTACCTGGAGCAGAGGGGATGATAGATAATTAGATGTTAAAAAGTGTATCAAGCATCCCAGAGTAGGAGTGCTGATCTAGGATCAGGTCCCAACCTGTCCGTGTGATCTAATAGGGAAAACGGATCCTAAATCAACACTCCTACTTGGTGAAGCTTTATATGGGCCCTGAACATTTCGGTAGTCATTGTCAGCTGCTTATTTTACATTGAGAATGACGCAAAGGAAGACAATAGCTACTAACTTTTGAATACATGAAATGGGCAATATCTACTCTTGACAATGTCACTCGGTACGAACACTGTCCCAGTTTTATCCAAAGCTCTCAACATTGTTAAACGTTACAATGCATTGCAAGAACTGTTGTTATTTTTGCAAGCCACCGGTGTTGCTTGCTAGCCGGCTAGCATAACATCTAGCTAGCTTGTAAACAGTGGACTAAACAAATCTCCAATGTCTCTCCTCTCTGACCAGTTTGAAAGTCTTCCGCTGGATTTCCCGTTGCAGTATTTTCGCCTTCTCTTTAGCCTTCCTCTCATCCCGAGAAGACGCGCCAGTGTCTGGTTCATCTTCCATTCTCACAGACGTGGAAATTAGAAATGTTTTCAAAACAAAATCACACTGCTAGAAAAACCAACGACAGCTATAAACGGATGTCGTCGAATAGGCCAAATGTAGCTTTGGAAAAAACAGCGCCAACTGCCGTTCTCACAATGTAAAGGTTACCAGAACTCTGAAATTAATTTCTAAACTATACCAAACAAAAATATAAACGCAACATGTAAAGTGTTGTTCACATGTTTCATAAGCTGAAACAAAAGATCCCAAACATTTTCCATACACACAAAAAGCTTATTTCCCTCAAATGTTGTGCATAAATTTGTTTACATCCCTGTTAGTGAGCATTTCTCCTTTGCCAAGATAATCCATCCACCTGACAGGTGTGGCATATTAAGAAGCTGATTAAACAGCATGATCATTACGCAGGTGCACCTTGTGCTGGGGACAATAAAAGGCCACTCTAAAATGTGCAGTTTTGTCACACAACACAATGCCACAGATGTCTCAAGTTTTGAAGGAGCGTGCAATTGGAATGCTGACTACAGGAATGTCCACCAGAGCTGTTGCCAGAAAATTTAATGTTCATTTCTCTACCATAAGCCACCTCCAACGTCGTTTTAGAGAATTTGGCTGTACGTCCAACTGGCCTCACAACCGCAGACCACGTGTAACCATGCCAGCCCAGGACCTCCACATCCGGCTTCTTCACCTGCAGCATCGTCTGAGACCAGCCACCCAGACAGCTGATGAAACTGAGGAGTATTTATGTTTGTAATAAAGTCCTTTTGTGGGGAAAAACTAATTCTGATTGGCTGGGCCTGGCTCCCAAGTGGGTGGGCAGTCATGTGAAATCCAGATTAGGGCCTAATGAATTTATTTCAATTGACTGATTTCCTTACATGAACTGTAACTCAGTAAAATCGTTGAAATTGTTGAATGTTATGTTTATAGTTTTTGTTCAGTTTACAATCAAACTTCATTTTTTATAAAAACATTTATTAAAAACCACATAAATAAATACCAAATAATTTAGAACAAAAACAGTAGGAAAGAAGAACACTCAGAACAGACCTTAAAAAACAGACTTGAGTTTTCTGGCCTTTGGTTGCATTGCTATGCCAATACTGTACCAAAAACAGGTATACCAAATATAAATAGTATAGAATGTGTAAAACTAACATATTACAAACGCTGTGTCCAAAAACAAGTCCTGAGGTCCTGTGGTAAGAATAGATTGTCACATACAGTATGTAGTAGATAAGATGCATTTGAATGCAGTGAGTTGTGCCTTTGTAGTATACAATCAAGTTAAAATACAATACTTTCCAGATGTACACTGGTTAGCAAGAAACACTATGGATGCAACCCAAATGGCACCCCATTTCCTTTATAGTGCACTACTATTGACCAGGGACCATAGGGGCGTATCGTTTTAGGGCTACGTGAGATGGATTGTGTGTGTGTGTGTATCTTTTTAGGTATCAACAGTATTCATTTCCACTAACGAATACGAACATTAACTTGTCCAATAAGAAACGCTTGTTTTCGTTCTCCGGTGCAAAACGTTTCGCTACGGCGTGCCAAAACTTAACACGACCCAGTTCCCGGTCCAGTCTAGCCCGATAAGTAGACCATCTTCACCGAGGTCTGCGGGACGGGGTGGTCTTGGGGACCCTTTGAGGGTTGGGTCGAAAAGACCCACGTGTCTGCTTCACGACGTTCTCCTCTGCCCCAGCCAGAGGGCCCTTCTGGCCAGCTACAACCCCAGCTCCAGTCCCCCTCTGCGTCCTGATGGGAGGAGAAGAGGAATAGGTTTATTGGTGAGACAGAGACGGTAGGTCTCTTTTACTTGTATCAGTAGTCACTAGCTGTGCTGTACTAGCTTGGGTAGAAGTATGGCTCTTTATAACCAAACATGTTATTAACACAACTCTAACCTTAGCCCCCTTAACCCTGAACTCAGAACATACAAGTCATACACTCACTGTCTTGCTCAGCAGCTCTGACAATGTCTGTTTTCTATACAATAACTATCTAGTCTAGTGACATTTTATGTGACAGGACTCACATCAAGACTCCTCTCTTCCTCTCTAGGACTTTCTGTGTAGCAGCAGACAGAGAACTCTTCCCCCTGGTCGACCCTGTTTCCCCAGTCTGTGGACAGAAACACACACACACGCAGTTAGATACACAAACACTCATTCATTTTTCTCTCTCACACACACACACACACACACACACCCAGGTAGTTACCTTGCGTTTCATCTCCCTCTCCCTGGCCAGCTGTCTGTCCCAGCTGATGATCTGCATCCTGTCTCCAGCTGACACACAGAAGAAGATGTCCTGGACCTCATAACGCGCCGAGCGGAGCTGGAACAAGACACCACTCCCGAGTATTAGTCTGTCTGTGTGTGTGTCTGTGTGTAGACAGAGAGACAGAATGTGTATGTGTGTGTGTAGAGACTGTTGTGCGTGCCAGTGTGTGTGTGTGTGTGTGTGTGTGTGGTGTGTGGGGTGTGGGGGTAGATAGAGAGACAGAGTGTGTGTGTGTGTGTGTGTGTTAGTTAACCTGCAGTGTGACTCTCTCCAGCAGCACCAGGTCTTGTCTCCCAGGGCTCTGGGGCTGGAAGGCCTGCAGGAACTGCTGCGTGTCCTGAGGGAGGGGACAACACACACACAGTCATACATTAAACACACATCCCTAAATCACATCTTCCATAAATCCCATGATGGGCTGTGTGTGTGTGTGTGTGTGCGTGTGTAAATGTGTGTGTGTGTGTGTGTGTGTGTGCATGACTGTGTGTGTCACCTTGATGGTAAGTAGCAGCTGTCCCACTCTCTCTGTGCGTAGGAGCCTCCTGGTTAGGTAGCCCTTCACTGCTGCTGCCACCAGGGGGCGGTAACACACAGACAGACACCTGGAAGACTGAGGAGAGAGGGGGGAGGAGGAGAGAGGAGGGGGGTGTTGAGAGAGGAGAGGAGAGAGGAGGGGGTTGGGGAGAGAGGAGAGAGGAGGGGGGGGGGGAGGGGGTGGGAGAGAAGGAGAGAGGAGGGGGTTGGGGAGAGAGGAGAGCGAGGGGTTGGGGGGAGTGAGATGGGAGAGAGGTATGGGAGTGGGAGAAGGAGAGAGCAAGGAGAGAGGAGGAGTAATGAGGGGCCGGGAGGGAGGGGGGGGGAGAGCAGAGAGGAGGGGGTCGCGAGGGCAGAGGGCGGGGGGGGGCAGGAGAGGGAGAGAGGATTTGGGGGGAGGCGGGAGGGGGCGAGTGGGGGGAGGGGGCTCGGGGGAGAGAGAGAGGAGGGGGGGGGGAGGAGGGGGGGAGAGGGGGGAGCTTCGTCCTTATTGGGGGTTGAAGAGAGAGGAGGGTGGTGGGGCATGATTTCGGGAGAGAGAGGAGTTTTGTTGAGGGGAAGAGAGGGGTGTTGGGGAGAGGGAGAGAGGGGAGAGGGGAGAGAGGGAGGAATACTAATTCCGTCAATGACAACCAATTAATTTCCTACCCAGGTCCTTTCAACTGTTGGCCAACTGTAGTTGTAGCCCCACCCCCCCCAACACCCTGACCTGAATAATCCTACAACTAACTGTTGTGCTCCTCACTTGTTGACTATAAACTGATGATCCAAATATAGAAACTAAGTCAATCAGGTGGGAATTAAATGTACCTGTGGGGGGGAGTCTGGGTCTGAAAGGAGGGAGGAGAGGTTATCTGGAAGGGGGGATCCTGGAAAGGGGGAGAACAGAGGGATGGAGAGGGGGATGGAGGACAGAGGGATGGAAGAGAGGGGGAGGAGGGAGGTCGTGTTGTCCTCTAGACGTGAGCTGGATGTGGGGCAGGAGGACACAGGGAAGGACAAACTCTGGAGTAGCTGGTAACGTATGGCCAGCATCTGACAGACAGCAGAGAGGGGAGGGGGGAAGGAGAGAGAGGAGGTGAGAGAGAGGGATGAGAGCGAGGACCATTAGCAGCGGCGCTCAGCGCGACTATCTGGCACTTAACCAGCACCCCTCATGAATTAAACTAATGTTCCTCTCCTTTTCTGTATCACATCCCCCTCTCCCTCCCTCCCTCCTTCCATCCCAGCTACCCTACATCCCTCCATCTCTCTATCCACGGCCCAGCTAACCTCCTTTTACAGGCAACACATCATCAATGATGGAGGGAGGGGGAGAGAAGAAGACCTGACAAAGGTCTCATAATTAAACAGCTTGTTAATGATGGTGTTGTTGAAGCTATGAGACACTTAAATGAATGGGGCAAGGACACACACAGGGGGAAATACAAGGATGCCAGCTAATGTGTTGGTTGTCCTTGGGTTTAAGACACACACACACACACACACCACACACACACACACACACACAGTGAGGTAGCCAAACTCAGCCAGCCTTCCTCTTACAGCTCCAATGAAACATTTATAGTAGAATCACTCCCTGGTCCTTAAAACTGGAGGAGGAGAGTTTCAAGGTCCCTTATAATGGGCATATGTCTGCAGTCTGCACAAGCTGTGTGTGTGTGTGTGTGTGTGTGTGTGTGTGTGTGTGTGTGTGTGTGAGTGAGTGAGGATGTAATTTAGCCAAGGAGCCAGCTGAGATCCCCATCTCTCTTTTGAGGAACATTAAGGTTGATGTAACAGCACAAGCTGGGGCTTTTTAAGAATCAGAGAAATAGAGAGAGAAAGACAGAGGGAGGGAGAGAGAAGAAAGAGGGAGAGAGAAAGAGAGAGGGAGGGAGAGAGACAGAGGGAGGGAGAGAGAAGAAAGAGGGAGAGAGAAAGAAGAAGAGGGAGAGAGAAAGACAGAGGGAGGGAGAGAGAAGAAAGAGGGAGAGAGAAAGAGAGAGGGAGGGAGAGGATTTGAGAGAGAGGGAGTGAAGCAGGCAGGGAGGGATACAGGTGCCAGCTAGATGGGTTTTATAGGTGACCTTGGTTAGATTTCACAGTTATTGGAGTTGCTAGTGTAGTGGTCATATTGCGTTCCAGCGGTCTCACTCACCTGGAGTAGTTGTTGCTGCTGTTTCCTCTATTGTTTAGAGGTCAGGGTTGGGGTCAATTCCCTTTTAATTCTGGTCAATTCAGGAAGTACACTGAAATTCCAATGACCAATTCTCTTCAAAGCTTTTCAATGAGGAGATGTGGAATTGGAATTTGGTTTACTTTCTGAATTGACTGGATTTGAAATGGGATTGACCCCAAACCTGTTAGAGGTTGTATTGTGGTTAGTATTGTAGCTATAGTAGTAATATAGTAGCTGTATTGTGGTCATTGAGGTCATATTGAGGTGGTGGTCAGCGGTCTCTCTCACCTGCAGTAGTTGTTGCTGCTGTCTCCTCTGCTCCTCCTTCAGGGCTCTGATCTGGGCTGCATGGGTCAGCTCCAGATGGACCTGCTGGTTCTCCTGACTGGAACAGGATCCCACCTGCTGGTTCTCCTGACTGGAACAGGATCGCACCTGCTGGTTCTCCTGACTGGAACAGGATCGCACCTGCTGGTTCTCCTGACTGGAACAGGATCGCACCTGCTGGTTCTCCTGACTGGAACAGGATCCCACCTGCTGGTTCTCCTGACTGGAACAGGATCGCACCTGCTGGTTCTCCTGACTGGAACAGGATCGCACCTGCTGGTTCTCCTGACTGGAACAGGATCCCACCTGCTGGTTCTCCTGACTGGAACAGGATCCCACCTGCTGGTTCTCCTGACCGGAACAGGATCCCACCTGCTGGTTCTCCTGACCGTGCGACCGCACCGCAGCTAGGAGGGAGGGGTAACAGTCAGACATGAAGGGCTAGCTAGGGGTCTGATTTGGATTATATAGAGTTATGGATTGACAAACGTTTGTCTTGCACTTGTTGCCTTTATAATTAATGAATAAATAGCATTAACTTCTTATTTGAGTTTGGAGCCACTGAATGTTATATAATGGATTGAGAAAATATTGAATGAATATGAAATTTGAGATGACAGCCATTGCTATCTGAATTTCTGTATCTCTAACTCTGTACCTCAGACAGGAAGATATCCTAACATACTCACATATAATCTAAATCCACTGTGGACATTGGCTGGCCTACCTTTAGGAGTACTGGAGTGAGGCCTGACCATCACCGCTCTTCGTCCTCCTCCTCTTCCCCCGTTCTCCTCTGTTGTGTGCATGACCAGTCTACGTTTGGCCCTTGACGCCCCTCCCTGACCAACTTCTCCATTCTCAGGGGTCAGCTGCTTCCCCGCGGGGTCATGACCTTTCAACGACCCCTCTGACCCTGACCCTCCCTGGAGCCAGAGCCCTGAGGGCGTGTCCACGTCATACGATTGGTTGATGGACAGGAAGTCGGCGTGGTCCTCCGGATCACTCTTCCACTCCATTGGCTGGCGCTGGTTGTTGCTGGCGTCTGAGAGGACGGAGGAAGTTGTTTTGTGTGATGCCGGAATCTTGATGACGTCCTTCAGAACCTCGATGACTTCCGACGGAACCTTGATGACATCATATGGAACCTTCCGGAACACGTCAGGAACTCTCATCTTCTGAGTGAGGGAGGTGACTTGGTGCGCTGCAAGAGGCTGCTGCTGGCGACCATCTTGTCTTTTGTAACCCGTTGTAACACTGATCTCCACCTCCTTGACCAATGGAGGTACGCTGTCACACCACTGGACTCTACAGGGGACCACCACCATCTTATCAGCTGACCTCACACCGCCACCCCCTCTTCCTTTGTCACTGTCAGTAAGGTTACTCTCTGTCTGACTCTCAGGTGTATGGTAGTCTATGTATTTGTGCGGCGGGTCCATGGTAAGGTTACTACTATTATCAGTCTGACTGTTGTTGTGTGTCTGGTTCCCTGTTGTCTGTAAGGCCTGGCTGTCAGGTGTATGATAGTCCCTGTATTGGTATTGTTGGTCTATATTATCAGTCTGGCTGCTGTTGTGTGTCTGGTGGTTCCCTGGCGTCTCTGTGAGCGTGGACTCCAGGTCTGAGATCAGTGCTTTGAGGCTGGACAGGTTCAGCTCCAGCTGGGCTATCTGTTCCGCCTGGTCTGAGCTCCTACGCATAGGTGTTGTACCACCCCTGGCCACTACAGGAGCTATAGGAGCAATAAAGCCTTGTGATATACCACCCCAAGCCACTAGGGGCGCTCTATGCAGATGACTTTGGTCCCAAGCATCATTCTTTCCCAGCCCAGTCCCCGACCCCACCTCGTTGTCTACATTCAAAGGTGTGTTTACCAGGATCTGCCTCTTGGGGGTGCCACCTCCTCCTCCACTGTTTCCTTTACTCTTACAGCGGATAGGGCTCATACTAAACTGGGGGGTAGGGACGGTCTGGAACCTATTTCCCCCCAGAGAGGAAGGCCTTGGCAGGGTAGAGCTCTTCTCCCTGACTAGGTAGAATGATTCCTGGGTTATGGAGGCATCGGCTGAGATAGGATGTGGAAGGTTGTCCATTAGTGTTGACGGTGCTGCTGTGACGTCTGGTGAGAGGTGTAGCTGGATGTCTTGGGCTGCCGATCCAGCGTCAATGTCCACTCCTGGGGGAGATTGGGTTTGGGTGTCTCCTCCTAGACCAACCAAATGTGTAGGGCCATTTCCAGCCTCCAATTCCTTCATTATTCCTTTGTGACATACTTTTTCGTTGAGTCCCATTTCCCTTTCCACAATACTAGACCTCTCCTTCTCCTCACGTTGAACCCACGCTTCCTTAGGGAATATCTCCAGTGGTGGCGGTCCGGAAAACTGGACTCCCATTCCCAGATGATCCTTCCTCCATCCCGGTCCCGGGTTTTCAATCCCTCCGCCACCACTCTCCCTAACTGGGGGAACTCATCATTCTCCTTGTCTGAGAAACTGATCTCCTCCTCCATCTTCTGGTGTGTCGAGGCCTCCTGGGTCCTAAAATAAAATACAACTAAATATCATTTAAATTGCATATAAAATCACAACACACTTTACAGTAAAAACATTCAAATGAAGGAGATAAAAAAACAGAAGACAATAAAAGAGATGAATACAAAAAAAGAGGTCTAAAATAAAAGGAAAAGCACTGATGAAAAGACAGACTAAAAGGTGGATTTTCAAATGGGATTTAAAAACCTCTAATGTGTCTGCCCCACTTACCTGAAAAAAGAACTTACAGAAGTCAATAAAACAGATGAATAACATAACATAAAACTCTTACCTTCCAGGACAAGTAGAGGCCTTGGCCTGGTTCTTCAGCTGACGCTGGCGTCTCCGGTGCTCCTGGGACTTCTTCAGCAGGGTCTGGAGGCTGAGGCGGTACGGCCCTGCCAGTGGTTCCGATTCCGGGTCCAAGTCTACATCTCCAGTCTGGGTCTTTGGTTCTGGCTGGTTCCTCCCTGGTTTGGGGCGTTCCAAAGCTGCCTGGGATTTCTTTAGAAGAGTCTGGAGGCTGAGCCGGTATGGTCCCTCCTGTGGGTCCAGGTCTAAGTCTGACGCCTGGTTCTGATCTGGTTTGCAGAGGTCCGGTGTCGAGGCCTCAGTATGAGGACATGTCACTACAATCTTGGGATCAGGACGGTCTGATAGTGATAATGAGGCTTGATGCTGGGGGGAAATTACATCAACATTAGTAGTACTACACTCCTTCTTTCCTGGATGACTTGCTATGAGGTCTTCTACAGGACATGTGATATTGTTGCTCTGTAGAGGCGATGTCACCAACGCTTCCTCTAAATAGTCTGGTATGACGTCATTACACCAGGACGACGTCACACTCGCTTCCTCTACAGGGCGACCAGTTATGAGGTCATCGTCACACGGGGACGACCCCTCCTCCAGATCTTCAGCATCAACGGGGGGATGGCTGATGATATTACATGCCTTGGTTGTGTTTGTATCGGAGGTGTTCTGTAGGAAAAATCCCCCCGTTCCAACTGGTGTCCCCTCCTCAGGCCCTGATATAATGCTCTCCCCAGCCTCGGTCCGACTCAAGACACAGGTGGCCTCCATGTTTTCATACGTCACGTACCCCGAAGACTGTTGGCTTATGTCAGCTGGAGGATCCACGGTTGGTCTTCCTAACCCCAGGTCCTCCTCCAGAACACACCCAACATTGGTGGTCCTATCCTGGTCATACAAGAGTCTCTCCCTGGTCCGGGTCTCTGTTTGCGGGGCAAGCCGGTTGGTGTGTGTGGTTGCCTCTCTAGAGAGAGAAGGTGTCGTTGGGTCACAGACCAGCTTACCTAGGAAGGTGTCCCTCACAGTGGTGGTGTTATGGAGAGTTGGAAGGACAGTGGTGGTGTTATGGAGAGTTGGAAGGACAGTGGTGGTGTTATGGAGAGTTGGAAGGACAGTGGTGGTGTTATGGAGAGTTGGAAGGACAGTGGTGGCGTTATGGAGAGTTGGAAGGACAGTGGTGGTGTTATGGAGAGTTGGAAGGACAGTGGTGGTGTTATGGAGAGTTGGAAGGACAGTGGTGGTGTTATGGAGAGTTGGAAGGACAGTGGTGGTGTTATGGAGAGTTGGAAGGACAGTGGTGGTGTTATGGAGAGTTGGAAGGACAGTGGTGGCGTTATGGAGAGTTGGAAGGACAGTGGTGGTGTTATGGAGAGTTGGAAGGTGATTTGTTGTGAAGGCGCCGTAGGCTGTTGACGTCATGGGAGGACCTCGGACGAGGATGCCTGCTTTCCCATCATGCATGACGGTTCGGGTTGGTGGGGAGGACGACCCCGGCAAGCTGTCCTTGGTTTCGGTGACATCATCATTCTGCGACGCTAGAACCTGGCAGATGTTGCTGTGGTGGAGGTTGGTAGTTTTGGCTGCCGTTAGTCTTGGTTCACCCTGAAAGAACTCCTCCAGTGTTGGTGCTGGTTCACCCTGAAAGAACTCCTCCAGTGTTGGTGCTGGTTCACCCTGAAAGAACTCCTCCAGTGTTGGTGCTGGTTCACCCTGAAAGAACTCCTCCAGTGTTGGTGCTCGTCTCAGCTAGAATACCAGACAGAAAACAAATAAAAAACACATATTACCATAACAACAGGCAAATGAAAACAATCATAACTAAAAACAAATATTTCCCTTGATTACTTTCTAACCCCACCACCCCTTCCCTAATTGGAGTAAACTAGTGAACAACAATGCTTAGGCCTCTACTTCCAGCTTATACATACTATATAGATTTTATGGACACAGTCAATTTTACAATAACTCTATTTTGTTTGTTTTTACTCCTGAACTTCCTCTACCCTCAACCTCTCTGATCATTTTCCTGATGTCCATCCGGTTTGCTTCTATATGCCATATCTTTCTAACTGTGCTCTTTCACAAAAGCTCTCAACCTATAACCTATATACTTATTATGGACACAGTATGCTTACATGATTAGTTATCATAACTTTGTTAGGAAATAAAGACACACTTTTCACCTTATAGGCTAGGCAATACAGTAAGTTAGCTGAAGTAGCAGGTGCACACAATTAAATTCTATGGGACCGTTTCCCAGCCTCGTCCTGCACCAAAAAAATTAGTCTCCAATAATGTTAATCTGCGTCCCGGGAAACCAGCCCTATATGACTTAAAATTCATGTGGATTTACCTGAACACTGTGTAGAATGTTCTGAACGTAGGACATCCTAGGATCAGAAGGCTGAGTCTTCCTTCTATCCGTCATCCTCTTGGCTGCCTCTCTGTGTCTCTGCATCTCTTCTCTCTGCACTCCTGTGAGCTGGGAGTGGGAACACACAGTCAGACTTTGACTATGTCCCAAATGGCACCCTATTCCCTTTACTGTACACTACTTTTGACCAGGGCCCATAGGGCTTTTTTGGGGGGGAATAGGGTGCCATTTGGGACTCAAATCTTTGTCTTGCCATGAGAGGCCCCTCTTAATAATGATAGATATCATTAGTAAGGCCCCAAAATAGAAAGTAATATGCATATACCATATAGTCGCAGCAAAGCCCTTGCTAACAATTATTTTAACAGTAGGTTCTCATATTTAAGACTATAAATACCTAACGTTAGCTAGCCTGGGTGCCAGTCTTCTCTGCTCTTTCCAACTCCGTATGGAATCGTCATGCAAAAAGACTGGTTCCCAGGCTAACATATAACTAGCTCCATCATTCCTCACAGGCATCATACCATGTAACATGTAAGTGGTGATATGTAACCTTAGTGATATCCACAGAGCTATACAACAACAAAAAGCCTTACCAATGGAGGAAGGATGGGTGAGCCATGGAAACGGATAGCTGATGACCCGTGGCGAGTACATTCCAGTGTTCGGCGTTGGTTCTTGTTGTGGTTGCTATGCCTGCTTTTCAGTTCGTAAAGTCGGCGTTGTATGAACTTTTCATAGTCCTCCATTCTGTAACAAAACGATGTGTTTCGTTAATTCGATATTAGAGCACGGCATTATTTGATGATCACGAAATAACGATAGTTTTTTTTTTTTACCAGTTGTTTGCTAATCTAGCTAACTAGCAGCTAACGTTATCTAGAAAGTTAGCTAACGGCCAACTAATCATTCAACAAAATAGCGCCAACTTTATCAAACAACACAAAGTTAAATTAATAGAATGCAAAGTTTACAAACAGTCGCAAAAATATTGCTTAACGAATGCCTTTAAAACTTTTTTAAATTAAACGAATTTGCAAGAGAGATCATCTGTGTTTACATTTTACCCGCCTCCTCGAGACAACAAACTGACAGTTTGGAGGAAACTGTCATGGCGTCTACAATTCACGTCATGGAATTTACGTCAGGTGGATTTGGATTCAAGATCGAACACAATACTAACTCCGAGTCCCACTTTCTAAGTACGTCTATAATGTCATGAGTTAACCTATATATTGTGTATATTAGCGATAATTAGTTGTATTGTCTTGATATTACTGTATTACAAGTGCTAGTTGGCAAACATGTGAAACGGCTGAAACAGGACTCCGGTCCGTATTTTACAACTCTCCATGTATTTTGATGGACTAATCTTCTGTCTGATATTTGCTACTGCCACCTACAGACGCTACTGGCTAATAGGTTGAGTAAACAAAATATGGTTCATAATGAGGACAGTAATACAACAGTAGAAAAACTACATACAGAGATCTTTATGTTTATTGGTAGCACGTCCATTGGACCACTGATAATGAATTGCCGGATCAGCAAAATAAATGCTGATTTTAGGATTTATGGACATGATTCTACCCTATGGTAAACGTCCATTGTAATATACATTTTATGTGTATTTGTTTGTTTGTTTCTATTCTATATAGTGCTGCATAAAGTATCTGTCCATGTAAGGTCGATGGATCAACATATGCTATGCATGATGTTACCCTATTTTTCTTGTATAAACAGGAGCCCATGGGTTGTAACGCATGTAGGCCTATTAGCCTATCTAAAACACAAATTGAATGCATAAATCACTATTCAAGCGTTACTCACGTAATTAAGAGGTCACAAATGGTCATGTGAACAGGGAGAGGAGGATGGAGGGAGAGAAAGATGGAGGGAGGGAGGGGTCAGATAAATGGAAGGTCCCCAAGAACACAGTGGCCTCCATCATTCTTACATTGAAGAAGTTTGGAACCACCAAGACTCTTCCTAGAGCTGGCCGCCCGGCCAAATTGAGCAATCGGGGAAGAAGGGCCTTGGTCAGGGAGGTGACCAAGAACCCGATGGTCACTCTGATAGAGCTCCAGAGTTCCTCTGTGGAGATGGGAAAACCTTCCAGAAGGACAACAATCTTTGCAGCACTCCACCAATCAGGCCTTTATGGTAGAGTGGCCAGACAGAAGCCACTCACTCCTCAGTAGAAGGCACATGACAGCCCGTTTGGAGTTTGCCAAAAGGCACCTAAAGATTCTCCGGTCTGATGAAACCAAGGTTGAACTCTTTGGCCTGAATGCCAAGCATCACGTCTGGAGGAAACCTATGGTGAAGCATGGTGGTGGCAGCATCATTCTGTGGGGATGTTTTTCAGCGGCAGGGACTGGGAGACTAGTCAGGATCGAGGGAAAGATGAAGGGAGAAAAGTACAGAGAGATCCTTGATGAAAACCTCCTCCAGTGCGCTCAGGACCTCAGACTGGGGCGAAGGTTCACCTTCCAACAGGACAACGACACTAAGCACACAGCCAAGACAACGCAGGAGTAGCTTCGGGACAAGTCTCTGAATGTCCTTGAGTGGCCCAGCCAGAGCCCGGATTTGAACCTGATCAAACATCTCTGGAGAGACCTGAAAATAGCTGTGCAGCGACGCTCCCCATCCAACCTGACAGAGCTGGAGAGGATCTGCAGAGAAGAATGGGAGAAACTTCCCAAATAGCTCGAGGCTGTAAGCACTGCCAAGGGTGCTTCAACAAAGTACTCATTAAAGGGTCTGAATACTTATGTAAATGTGATATTTAAGGGGGAAAAAACTATTTAATAAATTTTAGAATAAGGCTGTAATGTAACAAAATGTGGAAAGACTCAAGGGGTCTGAATACTTTCCAAATGCACTGTATGGCCGTATACAGTATAGAGAGATAAACCAGGTCTAGATCAGCAACTGAGGCCTCTGTCCTGTTTTACTAATATCTGGGCCAGAAATACGTCCACCCCTGAGAGGTTACTGGAATTAGGTCATCCTCCCAGTCGCCCCACTGTTAACTGGATTCCACTGGAAAGAGAAATTGTGGTTTTGTTTGTGTCCCAAATGGCACCCTATTTCCTATATAGTGCACTACTTTTGACACCAACGTTGAAGGGCGGCAGGTAGCTTAGTGGTTAAGAGCGTAGTGCCAGTAACCGAAAGGTCGCTGGTTCTAATCCCCGAGCCGACTATGTGAAAAATCTGTCGATGTGCCCTTGAGCAAGGCACTTAACCCTAATTGCTCCTGTAAATCGCTCTGGATAAGAGCGTCTGCTAAATGAAAAAATAAATAAAATAATGCCTTATCAGATCATCAGGCAGACTCCAATACTGTAATAATATAAAGCAACAGAATAGACTATAAAATGTACCTAGGACTTGAAGAAGTCTTCAATTTGACTGACTAGAAAGCCTTATTTCAGGCATCATCATATAGTCACATTATAGCCTATAGCCTGGTCCCAGATCAGTTTGTGCAGTCTTTGCCAACTCCTATGGTCATTGTCATGCCTGTCTGTTGGCTCATGGCTCATACATGTGGTCCTCTGTAGCTCAATTGGTAGAGCATGGTGCTTGTAATGCCAGGGTAGTGGGTTCGATCCCCGGGACCACCCATACGTAAAAATGTATGCACGCATGACTGTAAGTCGCTTTGGACAAAAGCGTCTGCTACATGGCATATTATTATTATTATACAGCCCAAACTGATCTGGAATCAGGCTACTTAACTATGGAACAATAAGGGAAGATACAGTTGGTCCTTTTCAAATTGTGTTTATTGGTCATATACAAAATAAAGTCAACTGTTTATCAACAAACAATACAGTATGTACATCAATAAATTAAAGGATCGATGACAAAACAGTTAATTTCCATGGTTACCAATACATCAGCATTACTTATCTACAAATAGCAAAAAAAGTACAGTAATTTAGTTATTCACTAATAAATACTTACAATTAAATGGACTCACTGTCACATTTGGGTGTTTCCCCCATACAAAGTACTGTGACACTGTAATATAATCATGTATTACACCCCATACAGAACATTTTACAAAACACAGATTTTTTTATTTTTATGTCCAGGTAATTTGTTACTAATCATTCCCATATTCACAAACTCTACTACTTGTTTTTATAGCTTTTCACTGATCATTGTATACTTTGGAGACACACACAGGTTGTGTCCCAAATGACACCTAATTGCCTTTATAGTGCACTACTTTTGACCAGGGCCCTGGGGCTGTAGTGGAAAGTAGTGCTACTATATAGGGAATAGGGTGTCATTAGGGAGGCACAGACAGAAACACCCCTGAGTCATATAGTCATATGCTCACCACTTGACCCAACATGTGGTGTGTTATAGGGAGGGGAGGGGACAGGAGGGGGGAGCAAGAAAATAAAATAAAATAAGAGAGCGAGAGAGCGAATAGACCATGATCATATCTGAGCTATAGGTTTCTCATATCAATACTTTATAGCAGTACAATAAATACATTTAATCGGATAACAAATGGTGTGTGTGTGTGTGTGTGTATACGTTTTTAACTATACTTGTGGGGATCAGAAGTCTCCACAAGAATAGTAAACAAACACAAATATTGTTAGTCCCCACAAGGTCAAATGCTATTTCTAGGGGGTTTATGGTTAAGGTTAGAATTAGTGGTAGGGTTTCATTAGGTTTAGGGTTAGGGTTAGGTTTTGGGGTTAGGGAAAATAGGATTTTGAATGGGACTGAATTGTGTGTCCCCACAAAGATAGTTATACAAGACTGTGTGTGTGTGTGTGTGTGTGTGTGTGTGTGTGTGTGTGTATGGTGTGTGTGTATGTACGCATGCTTGTGTGTATGCGTGCCAGTTTGGGAGAGGGGGCTGAGGAATCCAGTGGGTTAGCCTGTAATGTCCTCCAGAAGTTAAAACTTAATGAAAGCAGTTTGGACTTTATTGGCTGACAATGCTCCTTATATGAAGGAACACAGATTATTAGGTTTTGTTTGGCTCGTCTGAGCAACCCAGTGAGGATGTGCGTAAT